GCATCCTAGACACACCTTGCTTTATCTAGACCGCCTGCGGCGGGCAATTAATGCCCAGTCATGCAGTGTTCGAGGCGAGTATTCTAGAAAGATCTTCTCTCCCTGTCACCAACGACTCTTTGTGTCGGGCGGCCTACTCCCTGTCCCATCGTAGAGTGGCCGCCTGCCATTCTCCTTTCCCTATGTCTGCTACTTCCCTGGGCCCCTTGCTGGGCCTCGCCTTAGTTTCTCTTTCGAGCCCTGCCTGACCGACTCCCTATGGGCTTTAAGCCCAACACTACTCAACTTTGGGCCCAACAGGGTTGGCGTTGATCGATAGTGAGAATGTTTACGTTCATTATATAATGAGCTTTCTGGGGTTTGGTTCTTCCTTATTTGCATGAGTGGAAGGAAAGACACGAGTACTGATGAGTAAGTCGTGAAAAGAGCTCATTAGGAAGATGTAAATTTGCCTTAATTATAAGAGTTCATTGCTTTGCATGTGATAGTCTAAGATTCGAATAATCAGTGTAAGAATATCATGTTGATTCATAGATGGAAAGTCTTTGAAAACAATATGTGTCCCATTAAGAACTTCTTTTCAGTATTTTATCAGGAGTGAGGACGCACAAATCAATAAACAACTTGTCGCGCGCAGAGTGAATCGTATTTTTGATCACTATATAAGGATAGTCTACGTCATGGTAATGATGATAATTTCGATTCGACTGGTTTAATGATCAATTTGAGCCTATAATTAAATTATATTGTAGTATATATATTGAGAATAGACTATGTTGAATCGAGATAGAAGGTTATTCTCATGAAATCATTACTAGGCCTGGAAATTTGTCAAGAACATATAATATGCGTAGTTTATAGTCAAGATTGAGCGGTTAGAACGTAACCAAACTAGACCAAACATTATATGGTCCAGATTAGACCTGTGTGGTCTGGTCTGATACCGTGCACACCATATTAAGGGGAAAATGAACATTTTATTTGGTATGCTAGACCGAAAATCGGAGGGAAAGCTTTTTCTTTTCCTTGAAACTATCTGAGTATGTGTAATACGAGTAGTATTATATTATATTACGAGTACTGGTATGTAAATGGGCAGAGTTATATTCCTTATCAGAGTCATATAAGTTTGGTAATTTTCGTATTAGTGTTCATATAGTAAATCCAAGCCAAAACTTGGAATCGCATCACATGTGTTGCATTGCTCACTGGACGTTGTAGCATATAATTGCATTATGGAACAAACAAATAAAATCATATGTAGTCATGTTCAATCTAACTTTCCAAAAGCTGGCAATCAATGTCCTGAAAATAAACCCTAGACGCCTTCAAGTCATACCCAACATTGTAACCCTGCTGCGCCATCACCCCAACAATACTAACACTGTTCGACCTAAGAACCGCCAAGCAAAACACATCATCCTCTACCTGCATAGAACATCCCCGTATTGTCCACCACCAGACCCGCGTATTGTCAGGAAACTCAGCTCCGATCCGCTGTCCAGAGTGATTCCTTGTTGTTTGGAGATCTTGGTGAACAATTGGGCCTCTTATCGACAACCGACCGAAATAGGGTTTTAGGCTTCGGTTATCTCGGTTTTCGGTTAACCGATCCACCTCCAAGACCAAAATCATCTCGACCAGCCTCCGAACACCGACCGAATTTCGATTATCTCGGTTATCAGTTAGTGGGGAACCGATCGGTTATCGATTTAACTGGCTGATTAACTGATAACCGGTAACCGAACCTCCATCCCTATCTGATACGATATTTCATCCATGCTTTCAAATTACATATTGCTAGGCCAAGTATTGAGACAAGAGGGCCCTCAAACCCATGGTCATGAAGCCCACAGAACAATCAATCAGGCCAAGTTCAAACGGGCCGACACGCACACGCACCCGATTTGAACCACATCAAGTCCAATCTCATTTAAGTTTTCAGATTTCCTTGATCGTTGGACCAACTTTATCATAGTTCGATCTAGTCCACACCAGATCAGAATGTTGCACACCATTATTTCACACTATTATCCGGATTGCTTCCGCAAAGAATATGGGCCAAAAGCCCAATATTGGCCCAAACAAATATTACCCTTTTTCCTAATTTGGGTCAGGAGGAATTCCAGTCAAAGAAGGAAAACGACAATTTGAAACAAATTCGGACTCCTATTAGGGATGGCAATGGGTCGGGTTGAGGACGGATAGTGCATATCCGTTACACTACTCAAAGTAGTTCGGGTTTTTCCCATACCCATACCCACATAAGAAATAGGTAGAAAATCCAAACCATGCTCATACCCGTTCGGGTTTCGGATATCCACGGTTATCCATGGGTAATAGTTTTTCTTTATAACTCCGACCAATATGTTAATATTTACACGTATTCTCACGTTTCATAAGACGAAAAGTACGACAATAATTCACTAGAATGAAAAAAAATTAATTAAAACAACAATATTTCATAAAAAATTTATATTTATATGCTAAATATAAAATAAGTTAGAGAAAAATATTGATTATTTCTAGACAAAATATGTAACACCCCGATAATTTAGATTTAGGTTCGACCCTAATACGTGATCGGTTGGATTGATGGTTACGTACTAAGAGTTACAATCGCGGATTAAGAATAATAACATTATAACATTATTTTATTATTATATTATTAAAAAAAGTTAGTGGGGCGGCCAGGAGGTCGGCCGAGAAGCAAAAACCTAGGAGGCAAAATTAAAAAAGACCCTCCTCGGGTAATTCTGCAAGAAGAAGCCGCCGCCTCCCTGTGCCCCGATCCCGACCCCGACTCCATCCCTTTCGTTCTAGGTAAGGATCACGAACCCCTTCGCGATTACTAAACTCGAAAACTGGACGGCGAGACGTAACGTAGTGCCATTGCCGAGTGTGGGTATGCAACCGGACTACGAGACGTAACACGGTTGGCATACTAGGGTAGGACACCGGACGGCGAGACGTAACGCTGTGGTCCTAGAGTTTTGTGTTGAGATAAGGATAGAAGTCAAGAACTTTTATGAGTTAATGTCGAGATGAGTTGATAAGAATGGTTATTTAAGAGCAGAAAGCGAGAACAACTTTCATGCTAGGAAGGCATTCCCCTAATAACGTGTTTAGTAAGGAGTTTGCCTAGGGAAAAGACCTTAGGAAGTAACGACAAGAATGACCCCTTCTCACTCACCAGGTTGAGGGTAGTCTAGCCACTACAGGAAAATACACTTTTACCTAGGGTAAAAACGGTAGTTAATACTTTTAGCTATGGTAAAAATACGGCGGCTAACTTGGCCGTGGTTAAAAGTCAAAACGGTAGTTAAAAGTGACTATTCACTACCGTTTTTGAAACGGTAGTAAAAAGTATTGGCTACGGTAAAAAAAACGGTAGTTATTAAGTATTATTAACTAGCATTTTAACGGTAGTTAAAAGTTGTTTTCAACTACTGGTCTTGTAACGGTAGGGAATGAGGAGACGATTAGCTAGGCAATTTACGGTAGTTAAATAGGGGCAACGGTGGGGAATACTGTCATGTTAAGTTGAGATATTGTCACTAAATATTATTGTCATCAATGTTTCTTTCATATTTTTCACATGTCAAACAACCTAAAAACAACAATTCGACAAGTAACCAATTTCATAAAATCTGTAGACTATTCATATACAAATGCTAGATATATAAAAATAATGGCTACTAGTGTTAAGGAATTTGACATCTGTTCATTCTAGTTCTAGCTACTAGTGTTGAACCAAATTCACACAATACATGCTTGACTTGATGCACAAAAGGTTGTAAGTCAACATCAAAAGCTATTCTTCTGTCAAGCATCAAAATCCATTACGCTTCAGACTCTAATATAGTTATCTTAAACTTGAAGGAAACAAACCTGAAAATGTAAGAAAGTATCATTAGTACTATTCTTATTACATTGTCACTTTAGTAGTACTTCAACTACCAGTCAATAAAATCCCACAAAGTCAAAACAAAACAATCCAGATAAGAATATGGTTTGATTGGGACATGAAACATAAGAATTAATTGAAAGCAACTCATTGGAAAATGGAAAATGTACATAATTAGCAAAATCAGCAGCTAAGTTGCAATTCTCAACCAACTTAATGGTGTCCCCTGCTATGTACAAGATATGTAGCAAACCTAGGATTTAAGAAAGTATATATTCAATCTATCATCATATTGTCATTCTAATCCTAGAACATTCGCAATAATATCACATTCACTCAGTGGCGGATTCAGAAAATTTTCACAGGGGTGTCCTCTTCAAAAATTAAATTTAATTATATAATAAATTAAATAATTCGTATATTAAAAATATCATACTTGTATAAATTTTTTATTAAATAATAAATTAAAATTCATATTTTGAAAAAATAATATAAATAAACTCCGTGTCTTTACTGTTAAAAAAAAATCTACATATCCTACTAGACAATACTTCACGAACTTATCACATATTCGATTTCTAACCTTGTTCTTAATGTAGCTCAAAGTAGAAAAGACTCTTTCAACACTTGCCGTGTAACCATAAAATCAATTCAAATTTACGGGTAGCGTGTACGTAGTTTAATTATTAGGTATTGAAAATAGTTGGGGATAAAGAAATAGCGTTTTACTGTTGCATGATGTTTAAAATAGAATAACAAATGAGTAGCAACATAATTAGAATATGTTTGATAATAGTAGTATCCTAGGTTGGAATAACACGGACTACCACTTATATTTTGTTAATCATAAGCAAACTATTATCGAGGGTAGGATAATCATTTTTTCAAATGTTAGGGTGTCCCGGATTATCAATTATATATTGTATACCCATACGAAACTACTACCGGAGGTTGGATAATCGTTTCCCCAAATTTTAGGGGTGTCCCGGGACACCCCTAGAGGCCCATGTATCCGCCCCTGCATTCACTATCACATCTGCATAATTTGTTAAATCAATTTACCTCATCTTATCCTCCCACCAGTATATACGATCTAAGTTGATCTTCTTTTCTTTGACGATCGCACACCCAACATTGCTACCACTTGAGCTTTAACTTGTTCCGCTATCTATCCATTCATTTCCTTCATAACTTCAGTCCTCGTTGTACTCCTCACTTCAGCCCTCATTTCAACCATCATTTGAGCATTCATTTCAGCTCTATCTCTCTCGGCAGCCTCCCTATCTCTCTCTGCAACTTCTCTCTCTCTCTCTCTCTGCAGCCTCAAGCTCCTCAATGCGCTTTCGCATAGCAACCTTCTCTTCTTCAGATCGACGCAACCTAGAATCTAACTCACCATCTTTTGAGCTACCAACCTTCAAGTCTTTAGGCTTCACAGCACCTCCAAAACAAGTCATATGGCCATGATTCTGCTCTCCAAAACATTTGACTACCAAGTCATAATGACTTGAATTTGGGGCATCTTCCATCGCTTTCTTAATTTCTTCCTACAAACATATATAATGACTTAGTATGCTACTTACACTCTAAAATATCAACATTAGCAAACTTACATGTTTTTCTATTGCTTTGGGATCTTGTATCGCCTCTCCTTGCTTATAAGAATGCTCAAAAACCTGCTCCAATGTTGGATCTTGACCAAGCTTTTCTCTCTACAATAACAATAAAACACAACAAATGACTAACAAATGCTCTCTGCCAAACATAGCATCCTGCCCAAAAAAGTATTAAAGCTTAACATGCTCCTACACAACCTAGAGTTAGTCCCTTGGTGATTTGAAGTACTTAATCTGCACTTTTACATTCAATCATCATATTTCCTTCTACCAAAACACTGTATGGTGCCCAAAAAGTAGCAGAATTGAACATGCACTCATGCATCCAAGAGTTAGACAAAATGGTGATCTTTAACTACTTAATTTTTACTTTTACATTGAATCACCATACTCCCTTCTACCAAAACACAGCATGTTGTCCAAAAATTAATCGAGGTTAACATGCACATATACAACCAGAGTTAGGCTCTCGATGATCTCTAACTACTTAACCTGCATTTACATTCAATTACAATATTTCCTTCTACCGAAACACAACAAGCTCTTACATTCAGCCACCTATTCATTGATCTACAAACTAAGAAAAGTTGCAGTAGGTGATTACACAAAAGAAATAATAGCAATACCAGATCAACTTTGACTTGTCGTGTTGGTTTGCTCCCAGTGCGATGATACAATTTTTTCTTCCCTTGATTGATTGTATTAGCATCACTCGCTTTCTACAGTAAAATAAAAATATATTACAACTTTAAGTTGCAATAAACAAGTGAATAATTCAATTGAAAAGTTACACACCTTGTATTTCTGTCCTTTGAAAACATTTCTAACACACCATTCCCAATCTTCTTTGTTCATCATTGGTGGTACATTTCCAATTGCTTCTTCCACACTTTTGCAAGGTTTGACCAGCTCACAATTCATTTCTGATATCCAATCAGTCCAACGCTCTCTAATGTGATCTAACACATCTTGCTTATAGGAATCCATTTCAGGATGGGAGAAATATTCCTAAAGTAGTTAAAATTAACATTATCAACTTAATGGAAATACTCAGAACTTCAAAACTACTAAATTTTGTACGCATACACTAATTACCTTCACAACAGCAAACATATGATCTTTTTCTATCTCGCCAATGTGATCCCAATCCAAAGACCTTATCGGACAGATTGAAGGATTGCAAACTATTAGCCCGAGATAGCTTGCCCAAACAACTCGATTTGTCCCAACAACACGCTTTTCCACAAATATGACTAGTAATTTCTTTCCAGTCTTAAGCTTGGCAAGCTTTTTGCATGTGTTTTTCCCTCTACCATTTTTTTTGTACGAACTTTGCAACATAACATCCAATAGAAAAGCATTAGAATCATTGTTTTAGTTGGTTTTCATAATCTACTAACTTACTAACCTGCCTCAGTAACTTATTCTTGCTCTGTTGCTTGAGAAGCCACTTCCACTTGATCCTCCAACGCCCCGAGATTCACTTCCACTGGATCATTCGCAGCCACATGTGACATATGTTGCTGCACATTCTGAGAGAAAGAACCTTGTGCCCTGGTTAGTTCATCACAAACCCTCAAATTGTTTTCACTAAGTGACCCTTCATTTGATTCTAGTGGGCTCTCGGAAACTACAAGAACACACAAAAATATAATCATCAATCATAAACGTGGCATGTTTATAAAGTAATATATACAATCAATACTTACAATTACTTACCATTGTTTCTCTGTTTTGGTTGTACATGTTGCTTTTTTGAAGTAGTCGAACAAAGGGAATTGAAGGTGGTTGTTGGCCTCTTCATCGTCCTACTCAACGAGCCGGGGGCAACAAAGTTTGTTCTAGTCTTTTTCATTACAGTGTGGGGATGCTTTTATCTAGAGGAGAACAAAAATTATGTCAGAACAAGTTAAAATATTTAAATTTTACAAACCATCATCAATGACAACATCAATCAAAGATTACAACTTATGTGCAAAACTCATGAAACTTGAAAATGAAAAGAAAGAGCAAGAAACTGTACTACAAAGCTAGCAGCTCAAAAAAGGAATGGTCAGTGATGATTTTGTGCTATTAACTCAGCTTACACAAACTAATCACCAAGTTTTGGTTGAGAATATATATTCGAAAAACAACATACATTTTGGCTTAAATACTACTGCAAAAGAGGAACTTATCATCTCCAATTTTACAAAACCAACAAACCCAGCAGCACTACACTCCATTAGATTTGAGTCATGAACTTATCATCTCGAGTTGATACATTTGACACATGGACATCTGATTTCATTACTTCCCCCATTTCTTTGGAAAGCATAATTTAAAAATTCTTTCACACCAATATTATACTCCTCACTAAGTCTGTCCTGAACTGTCATCCAATTCTTGTTAAGGCTCATCTCCTAATAACCAAAATTTTATGTTATAGATAAAAACAAATTCGGAAGAAAAAGTGGAAATTCATAAAGAAACTATAAGTGCTAAGCTTCAACATATCATAGGCTGAGAGTAATAGCAAAGATCCTAATTTCAAATAGCAAAGAAAGACTTAAATTGAAATTCAGAAAGGAAGCTTACTGATAGAGAAAGATGGAGAAGAAGCTTGGATTTTGGGTTAAGGCTTCACAACATGTACTGGTTTTTCCAATTATGATTCTCGTTCCGTCAAACAAAGGGATCTATAGCTTCCTTTCGCTGCCACTACCACTTCTTTAGCTTTCTTCTCCTATTGAGCTATTGTTGTACATAGTAGTGAAGTTAGATTGTATACTTTTTTGAATTACTAGTCATCCGACCAAGCCAAAAGACTATTACATCGCCCTTATCTTCTCTCAGTGTTGCAATTCCCCTTTTAAGGAAAGTTTACAAAACTCGTATAACATATAATATAATGATGTGTAACACTACAAAATAGTATTATAGATTTGCAAATAGACAACAATCATCCAAGATTTAGCTCTGTTATGATACAAATACACAGAAGAAACACAAAAGGCAAGAACACCAAGATGGCAAGATCTAGCTCTGTTCTGGTACACAGCAGCAAAGACTAAATATATCAAGCTAATTGCTCGCTCGGGAAGATAAATAGTGTTTGTTAAATCCTATAAAGAAGACACAAGCCTTCTCTCAATTTGATTAATTACTTAAATTGAAGAAGGAAAGTGAATGACTCTAGATCCATCGACTATGAAAGGAAGGGGAGGCAAGTTTTTCATAACTGAAGTAGCAAAACCATGATAATTCAAGCCTGGGGATCAATAATATGAACAAATGCTTGCACATTAGGTATTTCACTACACACCAATAAGTTTGAAATGGATTATGCGAACAGCAAGGACCACCAGAAGTGCCACTTGCACCCAATTCTTTTGGGTATTAAGTGTAAATACCAAATTTGGTTAAAACCAATCTCCTACACCTATCGACAAGTATAATAGAGGCTTTTTCTCTCTATATATACGTAAAGCATACTTAATCCAAAACTAAAGTGTGCTAGCAACTAACCAGCCAAAGATACAAAGAACAAAATATAAACAAAAGATAATAGAAACAAAATCGACAAACCAATAAGCAGGGAGCCACACGGTTTAACAAAGATAAAGAACCTACCTCTTTGTTAAACCGCGATATTCGGGTATAGATTTTACCCGTACCCACTAAAAGTCCTTCGGTTCGGGTTTTACCCTAACCGATTAGGTCGGATTCGGACAGATATTGTAGAAATAAAAAATTATCGCAAGCATAAACTGAACACCAGGATTTTACGTGGTATCCCTGCTCGATGTGAGCAGGACTAATCCATGATGAGCTCGAAGTAGCTCATGACTACTGATTTTATTCGACAACTTTATGACTTGCGTGCCTTTGACTTTCTTAACAAGCAACAAAGTAACCGTAATACTCCCCCTCAAGCTTGAGCATGGATATCAAGCATGCCAAGCTTGAAAATAAGGTGGTTGAACTGATCGGCGCTTAACCCTTTCGTGAGAAAATCGGTTGGTTGTTTGGAGGTTGCAATCTTGCGAGGGGCGATGTGAGAAGAAATAACACGTTCCCGAACAAAATAACAATCCATTTCCACATGCTTAGTTCGCTCGTGAAAAACTGGGTTAGCCGAAATGTGCAAAGCAGCTTGATTATCGCAGTAGAGAGGTGTTGCCGTAGACAGGGAGACACCGAGCTCAGAAAGTAGCAAACGTAACCAAACTACCTCGCTGACAGTAGGTGTCATAGCTCGATATTCAGCTTCGGCGGAGGAGCGAGCTACCACAGATTGTTTCTTGGTACGCCAAGAAAGAGGAGCACCGCCGAGACGAATGAAATAACCAGTAGTAGAACAACAGGTCGTGGGACAACTGGCCCAATCAGCATCACAGTATGTGATCAGATCCAACGGGGTAGAAGCCAGGAAGAAAACGCCGCGACCAGGAGACTGCTTTAAGTAGCGAAACACACGAACAGAAGCAGCGACATGAGCCTGGGTAGGCGCGTGAACGGCCAGACTTAAGATGTTAACGGCAGACTGGATGTTCGGGCGAGTAATGTATAAAGGAGACGTCCGACAAACCGTGGTAACTAGAAGGGTCCGTGGCTGGAGGCGAGGAAACCCGACCGAGCTGGTGACCCTACTCGATAGGAGTGGCACAAGGACGTGTACCCTCCAGACCACAGTCGGCAAGGATGTCTAAGACATATTTACGTTGATTCAGAATGACACCTTTCTGAAAACGCGCCATCTCAATACCCAAGAAATATTTGAGGGGCCCTAGATCGTTGATGGTGAACCGGGCATGAAGGAAGTCTTTAACCTGCTGAATAAACTTCGCATCATTTCCACCAAGAATGACGTCGTCGACGTAAATGAGTGCTGCCACGAAACTGGAACCCGATCGGTGAATGAACAGAGAGTG